AGACTTCGGTTCCTTTCCTTCGGAATGCCCATGAACCGAGATAGTCTTTAGGGCCTTCTCATGAATGCCCCTAGAAAGAAGAACTCCGATGCCTATGACCACTCACGAGGCCTACCAACGTTGCAAACCTCGGGCCCCAGAAGATAGGCGCCTTAATTGGAATAGGGGCTTTGCAAGCATGCTTCTATCGAAGAACCCAAAAAGTCTCTATAGTACCCCGACAAATGGGGTTTCTGAAAATAGGGGACCCTAATATAGTACCCTAAATAGTATAGGATCCTTATTATAAGGACCCCAAAATAAGGTAGCCCTTAGTTTCGGAAACTCCCAAAAGCAACGGAAACTCCGTGCCGGCCGTCCACGTCGCCACCCGGACCGGGCTCGAAGCCGCGTGCGCGGAGGCTGGGGGCTCCGTGGGGTGAGGAACCTCGGGGATTTGAAAATTTACTGTAGGGGTTTAGGGTTTAGGGGACCTGAATAATTAGAAGAAGGTCTTGAGGTAATGTAACCACAATACTAACGTTCAGGGAGCTTAAGGAAGACTATTGCTAACTTTAAGGTGAACGGATTCCGGGAAAACTTCAGCTTCGGGTGGCATTTTGGGATTTTGGAATCATTGCGGTTTCGTGGAAGCCTTAAGGACAGTTTAATGTTTAGGGGTCGGAGGGTTTAAGGCTTCGGAAGCGTGGGGGCTAGAAAGGTTCAGCGGCCAGAGTTCATGTGTTTTCTAGTTTAGGGCTCAGACCGATAAAGCATGATGTTCAATATTATGTTGGGTTTATGCTATCACACACTTGAAGTAAGGAAAACCCAGATGGTTCGTGGAGTTTAGGATTTCGAGTTTGTTCTGTGACTAACACCTTATGAGCTAGGTCTGAGTTACCTTCACTTGTCATCTAACCGTGGGCCCATACATGTGCAGCAGCTGATCCCCCTAATTCCCTGTGACGACGTCAGACCTTCAACTTGTTTTGCGATCTCAAAACCTGACAAGAAAGATAGTAAGGAGCCGTTCTATTTAAGGTAGGTGCCTCCCCGGCAATCTCTGAAACTCAAGCGAGTCTTCAATAATCACCATATTCATGATTCCTAAAGTGTCAAGGGCTGATGACTACAGTTTTACGGAATATAATTTAATTACGAGCTCTTCGGCTTTCTTGTCTTCGGAGATGACCCCTCCAAAGGGCTTACAGCTAGACAGCCGCCTCAAGTTTCTGCTTCAAAGAGTGCCAATGTTCGGAACAGCTGCCCCAAAATATCAGGATCACACCCAACATCCGCACGCTGTTTTGTTGGCTATGGAATCCGAAGCTTTCGAAATCACGCGTGCGAAGTCCCTTCATCATCCAAGCGTTTTAGGGCTTGGCCGTAATTACAAGATTGAGTGGCGTCTCACCACCGCCAGGGCAGTTTTGAGACAAGCAGACGCCCAGGAAAACCTGGAGGGGACACAGGCTCAACGCAGGTAGAAACATGCCGAAACCCCGAAACGCTAAACCGCTAAACCCTAGGTTTATCACCAGCACAACGTACAATGCTTCCTGGTACGCAGGCTCTGCTCGAGGACCAGACATGATAAACGTGTAGCGACTATAGGCTGCAATGTGTAAGGTTGTGTAAGTAGAACCCAAATATAGGGACTGCAATAGATAAATATTCATGAATACACACATACCCACATCCCCAGATGCAAAGCCTTGAACCGTTTAACGTTCCTTTCCGTTCGATTTTGGGTTGGGGGCTTATATAGGGTTTAGGGGTGATTCTGGCATGGATGACCCGGAACATGATGAAAATTGTGCCGATGATGGTCATCATGGTAGCTCAAGCTTGCACCGGCTCTAACAATGGCAACTAGCATAGCAATGGTGGGGGACGACGATGATGAAGTAGATGAGAACCACAATGACAACGAAGACAACAGTATGGACCCTGATGACGTTGCTCAAGATTTTGAGAAGGAGAATCGAAGTGCTCTTGAAGAAAGGCACCAGCCGCCAGGCGCATCGCCCCAGAAGGCCAGAGGTAGCAGGAGCACTGCGGCCCCTCGGCCCCGGCGCCCGCGAGATTGGCGGAGGAAGCTCCATGACTTTTGGAGCTTTTTGTTGGAGTGGTTAGCTAGGTTTGGTATAGCAGTGCAGGAAGTGAAGAGTTGAGAGTGTTTTGGGTGTGGGGTGGTGTAGGGTACAGGCTTGGGGCTGTAGAGCTAAGGGCCCGTAGGGCAGAAGGCGTGAGGCCTTACCGAGGTTTGAGGGTCTCGGGACGCTGAAGCACTTCGGGCTACTGACGTCTCCAGATATAGCATTAGGCCTGTGGCTGTCACTTAAATTCTTCTGCTTGCCTATCTTCTTGCACGTCTGGCGGCTGAACGAATTATACAAGCTACCAAATTTCCAAATCTGCCCCAGAGCTGGGTCTCACTGTTGTCGTGTACCAGAGTGTCTGCTGACCCTGCTCGTGGGCTGGTTGAGCCAAGCCGGAAAGCGAGTTGCAAACCAGCTCCGTAGCTTCCCATTGTTGGAAGGCTCAGGGTTCAGCTTGGCGCTTTCAAGGGCGTTAGAGTCTCAGCGTTTGATGTCTGTCTTGGTGCGCCGGGAATGCAAGACTGTCAGTGCGAGTTCGTGTTTTCCAGTAGGGTTGACCGCTGTGGCAAATAAACATACCAAGGCCTACCTTCTTTCGCAAGGAGCTCCATATTACTCAAAGTCTCTTGCTAGGCATCCCATCAGCGGGCCTAGATGACGGCCGAATCCGGACAGTCCGATAGACGAGGCTCCAGGCCGATATAGGACTACAAGCCCTGCCTTCGGAAAAGACCTGCAGGGTGGATTTAACGGGATGGGCATCCGTGAGAGCAAGATGCCTAAGCCCCGGATGTTTGCATCGATGGTGATTTCTTTTGACAGAGTCCCGTTATGTTTTTTTTTTTTAAGAGGTTACGAGGCGCAACTTAGCTGGGGTCTGGATTGCCACCTCCCGGCAATTCAGACCTCAGGCCGACTTGCGCTGAGGGGCAGGGTCTGAAGTCCCCTGGTCCAGCAGAGGGGATATACTAAGCGGCGAGGAAACCGGCGAACATCTACTTTGTCCCTCTTGCTGCTCGGATTTCCCTCAAAGCCTGTTTGGAGCTTGCCGATGTACCGTAGACACTATAGTCAAAGTATCGACTAGAATATCTGGAGACCAGACCCTTCTCGAACAACGACTTCCTTCTCTTGCTGCTGCTGCTGCTGCTGCTGCAGGAAAGCGTCTTTGCGCGAACGTCGGTGAAACTTACGATATTGCCCTGTGCGCTGTACACCAGCAGACAGTTTGATGCCGGCGGGATGAGTCCAGATCAGCACCGATGCCATGAACATAGAACAACACTCTAGTAGTACGCACATCCCGTGTCGTTTGACAGTAGAGCCAGTGATTGCTAGTGTGAATCATTCCAACTCGAACTCGCATTTCAAAGCCTGAATCTGCAGCTGAGCATATACCTCTGGAGGTGAATGGTTTCAATATCTAACTCTATGGATCTATGTTAATAGTCCAAGGCTTAGGGTGAAGGATTCTCCTGGCCTTTGTAGCCTGGGGCCAGCCATTCTGCAGCCGGTCTGAGATGTGAAACTTCGGCGGGTTGTCGTAGTACAAGAAGAATCATTCTGATGGCAATGACAAGGCTATGAATCAGCCCCGACATCATGGTTTGATCGGGAAATGGCATTATTATGTCCCCGTGTACTATGCCAGCATTGACATGTGTTTGTAGCTACGTTACAAGCATGCTTCTTCTCGCTGTTTAAATACTACTTCCTACCACTTGAGATGCTACTGCTGCTGCTACTGCTTCTACGACCACTACTACGACTGCGACTGAGACTAGGACCACGACGCTGACTACAACGACGACGACTGCTAACACTAACAAAAACGGGAATGATGCTAATTACTACTTAACGAGCACTGCTGCTGCAAAACCCAACAGAACACCCGCCACTACAAGAACTCCTGCTTGAACCCAGCAACCGAAACACAACAAGGACAACGGAGATTCTGCTGTCGGAACCACAACGTTCGTTGAACCTGTATATACCTCAAGAAGTCCACGCTTAAGCTTCTGGAGCTGCAGCGGATGATTCGGTAGGGTCTTGCGGTGGCCATGCTTCCGAAAGGTACGGCAGCCCCGAAACGAAATGGGCTTCAGGGAGTACTTAGCCTAACCCGCTTGGATCCCACACCGGGTTGCTAGAAGGCCTCACCAGTGGATGTCAGTCACTAAAGGCGCGATGTCCGGCTTGGGTGGCTTCGCAAGTCCCTGAGGCGCATTGTCGCAAAGAGACCCGTCTGTCAGCTCCTGACAGGCATCAGATACTAGCATCACGCCTGCAGACCGACAGCACGAAATTCTGTATTACAAGCGCTGGCAGAGTTTCAAAACGTCGTAACGTTTTCATGGCGACGTCACGAAAAGTGCTGTTACCGAATGCATCCATTCTCTGTGGAACCACAGACAAAGTTCGGACCGTCGAAGCTGACAACTGACAAGAGCTAAACATCAGCGATGCATGAGCCCTGTAGTGCTGAGCATAGACTTTCCTAACATGTGGCTCTGCAGCAGTGTCATCCCCGTGCTGCATCTTGCTGCTGCCTATCTTGGGCACTGTGGTTTTGCTGCCACCACCTTCGTCGTCATGCATGCTCATCTTCAGTATGCTATTCTTCTTCTTCTGCATCATGCATCAGCGGCAGCACCAGCATTGTCATTGTCAGCATCACCGTCATCCTGACTCCTGACTTTGTTGAGGGTGCGGTACAGGGTCAAGACCGGACAGGACATCGCTACAACCGGCTTTCTGGCGCGCCAATTCAAGCTCCAGCTTCGAGGTGAAAGCTGTGCCGAAATTGCGCGGCTCAATTCATCTTCAAGATCTCAACCGTACGAAGCCCAAAGATTTCGTGCTCACAGAAAATATTTCGGAGCATCAGAATCTGAGAAGATCAAGCCCGGATGGCTCCTGTGTAAAGTCGTCGCCTGGCAGCCGCTGTGTCAGGCACTTGATATTCCGGATTTGCCCGCCATGGGACACCGCTGTAATCTTGATCTCATGCCTTAGATGTTGGTAGGTGCGGCCCGACCACCCTCAATAAATATACTGTAATATACTATAATATATTATAATATTATATGATGTACTATATTATAAGGATGTTCATACTTTGTGGATTCCTGGAGTCCCTTCGGTGTCCTCATAACAATGATCCCACCCTTCAGGGTTTTGGGAAGTGTTTGCATAGGCATTCGTGAAGAGGTGTGACTACATGAGCCATCGAGTGTAAACACGAAGATGTTGCATCACGAAATGACTTGACTGGCGCAATGGACAAGATCAAATCGGAGTCCTGATGGGTGCAGATAGTCCTGCCCCTCTGCAACCCACCATGACACAAGCGGCCGTCGCAACACATGAACATAAACGATCCTAGAATTTCCGCAGCCTTAAGCACCTTTTGAACACCTTCAACATCCTTTGAGCACTGAGCCCCTAAATCCCAAAGCCACAAGCCAAGCTACTTGGAGACCGTCAGGTCCATGAAACCGTACCTGGAGTGTGTAGAGCTCAGGGTTTACGCGAACTTAGGTCCCAGGGTTCAGGCTTCGGGGCTTAGGGGCTTCGGGTTTGGGGTCTGGGTACAGCGCCTGAGGGTATAGTAATGAAGTCTTGGAGTGGCCGGTAACCTCTTCTTAAACCCTGAGCCCCGAGGCTCGCAGGGAGTTCTGAAGGGTGCTCCAACGAATGTTCGTCCCGGCACAGAGGTTAAACCAGAACCCCTGAACCCCCGGGGCCCGCCTAAACCTTGAGGGGCCTAGGGCCTAGGGATTTTGGCCCAACGGGCTGGTCGTCCTCGCCGTTCTCGGAAGGGATGGCCTGCGACCCATGTTTGCCCATGTTCCACGGGTTTTTAAAACTTTTCGGTGGTTCAGCCTTCTGGGTTTAGGGTCTTGTGTTTGAGGCTTAAGGGTTTCAGATTGAACACTCCGGGAGTTTCGCATAGTTCTGCAAACAATGCTATCCGTTATCCCAAGCAGATTATACCACACTAAACTCCGACATCTACCGGAAGCCGTCTCCTGACTCGTGATGGCTGGCCTTGGAAGCATGGCTGTTACTTAGTCACCGCCGTCGAATCCCAAGTCCAAGGCCATCCCTAAGCTCTGTTGTTATTATTACTATTATTGCTATTGTTATTATTACCATTATTATTATTATTGTTCTTATTCTTACTATTTTTATTACTATTATCTTTATTATCTTTATTATTATTATTACTATTATCTTTATTATTATTATTGTTATTATTATTATTAGCATTATTATGATTAGCACCCGGATGCTAAGCAACTTCGAACCTCGCAGCCCGAAGCCCCACAGCCATGCTTCGTTCAAGAAGTCTGGGTCGGAAGGGGCCTGAAGAACCCGAAGGCACTACTTGTAGCTTCAATATCTCCCACCAACCTCAACAGCTAAATCGATAGGGAAAAGTCAACGAAATGATCAAGACCAAGGTGGCGACCATGATAGTCTTTAGTGAAGAAGAAGATGATGATGTTAGCGAGGATACGAACGTAATGATCCTCACAGTAGGAGTGTTCTGGAACCCACAATAGTCATGCCATACTCATTACTAGATCTGTCCTACTCATGTGCTACGAGCCCTAACTGTGAGCGTCCTCAGATGTGATGCCGCCGCCCCCGCCACTCACCACAAAGGCCGTCGGTTTCAGCAGGTTGGCTTCGTCCTGGCTGGGGATTTCGAGCAGAAGACTTTCGAGTCAGGCTCCATTGAAACACATATGGCGAACATCCGAAATAAAAAGGAAAACATGACACTAAAATCTAAGCCATCAAGACGATATCGTCCAAGACCAATGCACATCATTGAACGAGGATTCGAAGTTCAGACTTCGGACGTAAAGGATTGGAGTTACGTGCCTTATCTGCAGTTCGAAACTGCATTGCCGTTGGATTTTGTGCCGTGAATCTGCTTGCGATGTTGCTCTACATACGCGATTGTCCAAAGCATTTCTAAACTGTAGATCGTATAATCCTATCTCAAACCCGGAGGAGAAAAGCGAAACACCGGCAGTCCTGCGGTACCAAAGGGCCCAACCCCCAAGATTTATGTGGGCCAAGTCTCATCCACATGCACCTCTTGCACGTGTCGGTGAGCGGTCAGGAGCAGGTCCACGCCATAATCTCAGCAATAACAACAACAGCAATCAGGAGAATGCGATTACTGCTATACTGCTACTGCTGCTGCTATTCCTACTCCTCCGACTTCCAGTTCTACTAACTACTCCTACGACTATTCCTACTCCTACTCCTACTAAGCGACGTATTGACGACAACAAAAACAATAGAAGTCTAAGTGATAGTGCTAGTAAGGTAAGAACAAGAACAGAAGCACGAACCATAAGCTGTTTAGTACAGAATTGAGCATCGACGGCAGCAACATCGGAAACAACAACACAGCTTCACAGCCTTTCGCAGCAGCATAGCTGGGATGCTATTCACTTCAGCGCTGTCGGACAGCTCGACAACCGCTTGGAGAAGCATGGGACAGAAAGAAATGGGGCTGCTATGCTCTGCCAGGAGCTCATCCTGTGTTCCCTTACGTGGGTCTACGCGGCAACACGCCCTAGCCCACACAAACCTGCGCCTGTCCAATGTTTCACTAAACATGAACTCCAACATGGCCAAAAATCGCTGCTCAAAGGGCTTCAACTTTAAGGGTAAGATTTAGTGTTAATGGTACTTTTTGTACCAGTGCCACTAGAATCATGATGCTCCTAGCCCGTGACTCTGAAGCTGATTGCATTTGAAGTCCAAAGCGGCTCTTGGAGAGCCGCCGCCACTCGTCGACGCCATGCTCGGGCGGGAAGTGAGTGGCAATGATCCTTGGCGCTGATGCGTAGGCTTCTTCTATATATATATATAAAGTTTCAGCACTGCCGCTGTGTCGGCTTCTCCATGTAACCGGGCAGGACGGCTTGCTGTGTGAGGGTGAGCGTACTGCGCTGTGGCATCCCTCTTTCTTCTGAATGCACACTTTGCAATAGAATGCGATCGCAGCTGCCTCGCACTGCTGAGACACAAGCGAGCCGACTGCTGTTGGGCACTGCTACCTTGTTGTCGGTCGAAGCAGGGCTGATTCAGTATTCCGAATCCCGGAAGCCGTAGCTCCCCTAAACCCTAAAACCCTAAACCCCTAAAACCTAAACCCCTAAACCTCTTTGAAGAGGCTCTGCCAGTCTGCCATGGACGAGCCCAGGCCCTCCTCGAGCCACTGCACCTGGCCGCGAGGGAAACACCGAAAGCCCCAAATAAGCCGTTTGCCGTCTGAGGCCGCAGGGTTCCGCGGTTTGGAGGATAGATCGTACCTTAGGGCCCGAAGGCTGTGCATGGGCCGGCTCTACACTGGGCTTCAATCCTGGCAGCATTCATCATGAAGTTACTGCGGAACCCCAACACTCTTGCTGTACTGAAAAGCTGGTAGAAGATGGCTCTCCAAGGTAACATGGATAAGGGCGAAGCAGCGATTCGTTGCAACCAGCACTACACGATAATGATGAACTCGAAACCTTCGAACCCTAAACCTGAAAGCCCGACCCCCCCCCCCAACTGCAAAACCCTACGGTAAACTCTCAAACCCACACCCCCTGTCCAAATTTATACTACACCCTGAAACGAAGCGGCAACAGGCTGCAATGTTTTTGCCTCGGCATCCCAGAGGTTCTTGAACCACTCCGAGCACTGCCTCGGTTCTTATTTGAGGGGGTGGAGCGGCCATGATGATTTATGGTCAACTAATAAGCATGACATTACGGTTATTGCATGAGTATGGGTTGTGGCCGCATTTGTTGCCGTTTGTGTTGTATAACACTAGTTAAAGCTATGGGACTTTTAGGAATTATACAGCTTGTGGGCACATGATTCTCTTATTTGTTGAAGCATCCAAGGCCCGAAAATCCAGTTTGCAACTACAATATTCTCTTTGCAGGTTCGGGAATATAACACTGTGGCTGGTCCCTATCTTTCACATCGTTCCTGGTGTTGTTAACACCTGTCCACGTTCTGGTTAACCGACAACCAAGCGACTACATTAACACATGGAACTTAGGTAAACATGCATACAGTTTGTATGTATGCACATGTAGCACCTGTCTGAATGTGCAGAGAGAGAGAGAGAGAACAAAAATAATGAAACACATGTAGAAGCACGTGGTAGAACCATGGTGGTATGCACAAACACATAGAAAGCTCAACCCTCAAGTAGCTCGAGTCAAAACTTAACCTATCAAACTCTGACGTAACAACGCGTGGATCCTAAACATCGAAGGAACCCTGAAGTATGTGAACCCATGACTTCGAACGACCCCCCCCCCCCCTAAAGGGGCATGCAGACCAGCTGCTCCAGAGATACAGGGCCCGAAAGACCGCAGGTGGCAGAGGGGTAGTTGTGGAGACCTCCAAGGTTTTTGAGCTTAGTTAGTTGAAGTTTAGGGGTAAGTAGGGTTATTCTTCTATATCGTTTTTATGGATTTTGGAGTTCATGGGTGGTGGCAAGCTGGATTTAAGCAACTTCATGACCCCATGATGATAGCCGTACTACCACGTGCTCTGGATCGCTGTGGCAGCACGGCGTCTCGGGGCTTACTGAGCACCTCTGCAGCCCCAAAACAAGGCCTCGAAGTCCTAGACCCTCAAAACCTAGAAGAAAGCCCAAAGCCTGAGACCAATTTTCAACTGATGTCTTGAAAGGCCATGACACCTTGGGCTTTCTTGTAAGTCCTCTGATAGCTCTGAAGCCCTGTCAACTGATAAACCTAGAAACCGCACTGTCTAAGCTCCGTTGTGGCACCAAGGTCCCAACCCGTGGAGTCTTTCACAACAGAGGCCCTATGCACGGGCACGTGCCGTGTGTTTTTTGGTTCGTCGGGACGTATGTCTTGGGTCATATTGTTACATAGCTTCGTTCCGCTGCTGCTGGTGTGGATGTGGTTGTGGTTGTGGTTGTCGTTGTGATGGTGATGGTGGTGGTGGGTGGTGGGGGTGGTGGGGGTCGTGGGGCTGGGCGTGGGGGCTGAGGGTGGGGGTGGCGGTGGCGGTGGTGGTGGTGTTTCTGGTTCTGGTGGTTCTGGTTCTGGTTCCGCTTCTGGTTGTGGTTGCGGCTGCTGTTGTTGTTGTTGTCGTTGTGCTGGCGTTGCTGTTGCTTGTTGCTTGTTGCGTGTTGCCGGTTGCAGCTGTTGCTGTTGTGGCTGTTGTTGCTGTTGTTCATGTTGCTGCTGTTGCTGCTGCTGCTGCTGCTGCTGCTGCAGCTGTCGTTGAGGTTGTTGTCGTTGTTGTTGGTGACGATGATGATGATGATGATGATGATGATGTTGTTGTTGTTGTCGTTGTCGTTGCTGCTGTTGTTGTTGTTGATGATGCTGATGCTG